ATATTATATTTTTTTTTTTTTTTTTTTTTTTTTTTTTTTTTTTTTTTTTTTTCTGCTGGGACTATCTGGTCCTTGCACGGGCTGGCCACCCGGGTCCCGGGCGGCCCGGCTGGTAGCCTAGGAAATGGTCCATTATTATTATTATTTTATTTTTTAAGGAAGATTTGATTACACAGTTAGGCTGTTTCGATTTTGAATCTACCCATTTGGGTGGAAAAGGGGGTAGTTCTGGGGTGGCAGTTGAAAACACGCACCTGAACATAACCCCCGGTCATTATAGCTGTATTTGGCACGACGTTCAGCCCAGATACGGCGATAATTACCGGGAATTCTATTCGGGTGAAGACGGAAGTTTCTCAGAGGGTTTTTTCTATTCTTGTCTGGGGCTTGGACCGGCAGACTGGCAGGGTTTTTTTTTTTTTTTGAATAAACTCCCTTCCAGTGCTAGTGGCACCCTGCTCAGTCAATCCCCTGGTCTCCAGGGAAATCAATGCTGGCAGGTTCTTTCTATAGTTTTTTCTGAGGTATGTTCTGATATATTCCATTGTAAGGGACGCTGGACCCGTTTTCCAGCAGGTGATGCTCCCCACCAATAGATGGAGCTTTTCCTTAAAAAAAAAAAAAAAGGTGCTGGTAAGAGCAGACACCACTAGCACCTGAGGAGAGGCTCCATCTATTGGTGGGGAGACTGGCAGGTTAAACTTTGGTGTGAGTAAAATCAAGCACCTTTTTTAAGGTTAACTCTGGGTGATGTACCAAGTCCTTTTTTATCAGTCAAATGCATCCTGCGGATGCAGACTGTCAAGTTTCAGGGCCTGGCTCCACTACTCTCGAAATGTGCAAAACGAGAGTGAATCTTCCGCTAGAACATGGAAAGATACACCCCCATGACTTTTTTGTCATTTGTGCATGTCGAGAGTAGTGGAGCGAGGCCCTCAACCTCCCGACTGACGAGTCGATGCGACTCAGACGAAATAGTCTGTCATGATGCTTGCTCTTTCTTGTTCCTTCTTTCCTTTTCCTTCTTCTTTTAACTTTATATTAAATTTTTATAACTATAATAAACAGGGCCTTGTGGCCCTGACTCCATATCCATTCTGGGGTGGGGACTATTCCACGTCTTGCCGTGGGTATAAAGTCTCCTGTCCTTTCAAATATCCCTGTTCTCGCAGTGTCCTTGACAGTTTCCTGATGGGTGCATGCAACACCAGTCTTTTCCTTCTTTCCACCGGCAAGTAGTCAAAGGAGTACAAAGTTTTTACTCATGCAACGCTCCTCGCCGTTATGATTGGGAGGCCCGAGTGGACGGCATTGATTCATTCCCTTGCGAAAGAAGGATATACCACCCCTCACCCCTGCCTAAGTTGGGAGGAGGCCCGAGTGGACGGCATAATGATTGGTTCCTATCTTCTATTTAGTATTTACCTCACGCAACGCTCCTCCCCATTATGGTCGGGAGGCCTGAGTGGACGGCATTGATTGCTTCGCTTGGGAAGGATATACCACCCCTCACCCCTGCCTAAGTTAGGGCCTCGCTGCACTACTCTCCACATGCACAAAAGACAGAAAATATGGCGGTGCATCTTTCCATGTTCTTGCAGAAGATTCAGTCTCATTTTGCACATTTGGAGAGTACAGCAGCGAGGCCCGTAGTCTCAGGTCTTATATAGTCACCGCTGCCCAAGTTAGCGTGAGCTCTTTCGCAATCACCTTCCCCTGTTTTTTTTTTTTTTTCTCTCTAATAAAACAGGCCCTTATGGTCCTGGCCCCATATCCAT